CCGAGCCGCCTGCCGCGTGCGCACACGGGCGCTCCCGCGGGGCTCCCTTGGCCCCTGGACGGCGCCCGGGCCGCCCTCCCCGGCGGGCGCTCGGTCAAACAGAGGCGCCATGGCCTCATCCCCTCGCCGGGCGGGGAGGGGAACGGGCGCGTCCCGGCGGGAAGGGGAACGGGGCCGTCGTGGCGCTGATAGCCGCGTGCGGCAGCGCAGGTAGCGCGTAGCCCTGGCTGCCTGCGCGCATGTACACGCGCACAGTCACATATATGTACACATATATATATAAATAAAAGACCTCTCCCCCGCCGTGCAAAGGCAGCAGCGGCCGCTCCGTTCCTGGCGTGCCTTCTTTAGCACTATAATTGCAGACAGGTAGTTTCTCGGGTGGGGAGGGGAAGCTCTGCTCAGTGTCTGTCCCGGAGCCTCCAGGTGAGTGGGGAGAGCAGCCGCCTGCTCCCTGAGCCGCCTTCATCCCGGCTCATCCTGCCGGCCTCGGCTCTGGGCTTCCCCGCGTGCACGGGGAGGCCTGCGCCTCAGCAAGCGCTTTGCGTCTTTCCCGGGTGTTTCTTTATGTGGACGCTGCTATCGCAACGTGAATCCCAGCGGAGTCGGAATTCATCCCAGCACAGCAAGGGCTGGGGGAATGGGTCATTAGACCCGCCTGTTATTCGGATCGCAGTTAACGTGACCGGAGCCGGGCACGTCCCTCCTTGGAGCCACCGCCGCGGCCATCCGAGGGGCGACGGAGCCGTCGCGCTGGGATGCAGCCGCCCCTGCCAGGGATGCGGCTCTGGGGAACAACAACTTGTGCTGGAATTACCGAGCGAGCGAATCCAGAGCCGAGGGCGGCTGGTGGAGGCTGCTTGAGCAGCTCTGAATGTTTGTATGTGGCTGAAGCGACCGACCGAATAGAGCTGGACTCTGCCTGAAAAACACACGTTTTGAGTAGCAGAAATGTCATAGTAGAGGAGCAGGTGCTGCAAATGCTCTCATATCACCAGAACAGCCTGTGTAACAGAAATGCAGAGAAACGGGGGTGATTCCAGGTTGTACCCGGAATGGGATCTGGATAGTTGCCCTTCTAGGACCTGTTAGTTCAGCAGTCATTCAGTATTCCACATCAAATAAGTAAGAATTCCTTTTGCTTTGTTTTTATCTTTTTGACTCCCATATTTTTGTACGAAACTTGGCCGGACTTAAAAAAAAAAAAAAAAGAATTTAAGTTAGCATATGCTGATTGCCACATGCTAACGAGCGTGCTGTAGACGTCTGGTTCCAAACTTGAAATGTTTGTTGCTGCTTTTCAGCGGTCCTGCCTGCTCCTCAGCTTTGCTTCTCGATGGGCTCCAGTGTGGCCTTGCACAGCCGGCACTTTCCAAGCGGATCCCGACACTTTCCTGGGCATTTACACTCCATGTCTCAGCCCTTTTGGTGGGAGCCTCCTGGTCTTGTAGGGGGAAAAAAGAAAGCTTTAGTAAGTGAAACGTTCCCGCTTGCGTTTTCTTTGCAGCGTGAGGCACGTCCTGCAGCAGCTGCTCCCGTGTGGATCCCGGCGGTGGGAACGGGCCGAGGGCTCTCGGCCGCGCTCCGTGTGCGGCCTCCACCATGGCACCTCGTCCCGCCGGAGCCTCCGGCCTCCCCATCATCTCACGCTGCTTTGCCTGGGCTAATGCGACTGAGAAACACACCTTCCTTATCCATTAAGGCCAAAAATATTAACTGCTCAAGATGCGAGCCCTGAGGGCCTGTCTATATATCGAGTTATTACACGTGGAGGCTTTTATCTTGGTAAGAAAATGTTCTTTCTGTGCAAGCCAACATGTGAATTGAAAACTCGGGGTTGTGCTGTAGCCCTCCCGTAGACTCCCTCGTTCTGGCATCGTCCTCTGGCTTTTTTTCAGGTTAACGCTCGCTGCTTTCCAAGTGATTTAAATGAAATCAAAGAAAGTTGCTCCTATCAGAGGAGCTCCAGCCCCATGAGAAATGAGGCCGGCCTGACCTGTATGGCTGTGGCAGCAGCATTAATACTACTGTGCTACGTGCAGAAGCTGTAACAATTAGCAATACTAATTGTGCCTGTTTGCACATGAGAACAGGAACACTTGCTTATACTGAAATCTTTCCATTTGAAGGAATATTTGATTTTTACTGAAATTCAATAAAAGTGTTATTCCGAGACTGTTACCCTGGACATACTGAATTGGGCAGGTAAGTAAACGCTTAAATAGTTTTACTGAAGACAGCTCCCTACCTGACTTGGGTTTGTTCCATGTTAAACCATCTGCAGGAATGCTTTTTTTTTTTTTTTTTTTCTGAAACGATTTATATATATTTTTAATTATTTTTATTTATTATTTTATGAAGACAAGGCACTGTATGTGCTGTATTGTGCTGCATATCGTTCGCATCCGTATGAGGCTACACGAAGTATCTGTGAAGTCCTTTCAGAGCCTCGTTTCTGGGCTGTTCTTTGCGACCTGCCTCATTCGCTGCCCCTCATGTCTTGTTCACAACTTTATGAGGCTGCTTCATAACCACAAATGCCCTGAGTATCAGTTCAGACATATTTGTGAGGGTGGGCGGCCAAGAGAGGCTCCTCCATGAAGAATAACTAGTTACAGAATCACAGAATGGTTGGGGTTGGAAGGAACCTCTAGAGATCACCTAGTCCAACCCCCTGCTCCAGCAGGGACACCCAGAGCACGGGGCACAGGGCGGCATCCAGGTGGGTTTAGAGACCTCCAGAGAAGGAGACTCCACAACCTCCCTGGGCAGCCTGTTCCAGGGCTCTGTCACCCTCGCAGTGAAGAAGTTCCTCCTCACATGGAGATGGAACTGCCTGTGTTTCAGCTTGTACCCATTGCCCCTTGTCCTGTCACTGGCCACGGAGAAGAGCTTGGCCCCTTCCTCCCTACACTCTCCCCTCAGGTATTTGTACATGTTGATCAGATCCCCTCAACCTTCTCCAGGCTAAGCAGGCCCAACTGACTCCGCCTCTCCTGGTACCATGGATGCTCCACTCCCTTACTTTTTTAACCCAGGAAGCAGCGCCAGCAGTTTGAGCAAAACTGAGCTGGTAGCTGCGCCCAGGGCACCTCCTGGGCCCGAGGCAGCTGCTCGCAGGTGGGTGCCAGGCCGAGCTGCCCCACGCGCCCTCAGGCCGGGCCTTTATCGCGCGCAAAGTTAAACAAACGCTCCGGTGGTGTTTGCAGTCTGCGTGGCACCCGATTACTTAGGAATAACGTGAGCCTGGGCCTGGCACACAGGAATGAGCCGCTCGGGAGCCTTGGATCCGCAGTGGCCACCAGCAGGGCTGTGTTTCTGCCCTGGGTTGTGGCATCTATTGCATGGGGGACCCTGGCAACAGATCTGGAGCGCTGTGTTAATGGGAATTTAGGTGCCGTTAGCAGAGGTAATGCTGTTGTTATTTCTGTTTCCTTCCAAGAAGTCATCCGGCTTGTTCGGCACAGCCTCCCTCTTAGAGGGCCCGGCCTGTGGGAGAGGCAGGGCTGGAGGCTGGCGCCTGGCGAGGCCGGGGGCCCGTCCCGCTCACAGCTCCTGCCTCCAGCGGAGGGAGCGGCTGCCCCAGCGAGAGCAGCCCGGTCTGCCCCGCGCCTCGGCCTCTCGCGGGCAGCACGTGGGGACGGGGCACCTGCAGAGGCGCAGCCACAACCCTCCTTTAATTTACACGTGCAGCCAGCTCCGTACATAAGGAAACAGCAGAGCCTCCACAGGCAAGTCTACACGGGGACCCCGGAGCTATATACATGATAAAAGCCACACACGTGTTTTCTAGCAATGTTATATTTCAGCCCCAAGCAAAATTCTTCTCCGAGCCTCAGCCCCTCAGTGAAAACAAAGGCTTTAATCCAAGTCCCGACCCCACCTGCACTGCAGAGGCGCAAACGCTCCCGTTCGGATCCCGGCTCATCCCGCGGCGAGGGGAGCTCCTGCAGGGACCCAGCTGCTTCTTCCAGTGACCAGCTTTGGAGAACCTGCCTTTTCCCACCGTGGTTCCCATTTACTCTGCCAGCGTTTGGAAGCAACCCGCTTTTTCCCTGGCTTCAGCAAGGGGTCCTTTTGGATCCACTAACACGGTGACAGAGACATACATACATATATATACAAATACATGTATATATAAATACATGTATATATATAAGAACACAAGGGGTTACTTGTGGTTCTTTCTTTCCTTTCTCCTTCTGCTTTCTTAAATCAAAGTAATAAATCCGTATGATCACAACAGCTAGACTAATCAATCTCTCTGTGCATAATTGAGCCGAGAATCCCAATTAAAGCCGGGGAGAAATTAAACATAAGGTCTCTTGTTGTCTCTACAGCATGAGCAAGGACGGCACAGGCTTCTACTGTGGAACTCCTACAGTTCTGCTGTCCAGAGTAAAATCTTGCAGCTGAGACATGTCCTAAACACACACCAAGCCCTATATCTGCTGGGAGGACAGTTCTGCTCTTCCCTTCCCTTCTATTTAGGTCCTCGTATGGTGTTAATCACCATGGTATCTCACAGATTTGTAAAAATATAGCACACCATATGCGATAGATCATTAATATCATTAAGAAGGAAGATGCTGGGTAAAAATATTCCCTCTAGGACTAAAGCAGAACACTTGCAGGAAAGGCCTTGTCCGGACACGCGGCCTCAGAGAATGGGTCGTGTCCTTGGTCTCAGGAGGGAGGTCTGTGGAAGGCACCAAGTCCTGCCATTCACGTGAGGGACCCCTCAACTCCCTCACGTTGTGGTGGCCAGTGACAGGACAAGGGGCAATGGGTACAAGTTGAAACACAGGAAGTTCCATCTCCATGTGAGGAAGAACTTCTTCACTGTGAGGGTGCCAGAGCCCTGGAACAGGCTGCCCAGGGAGGCTGTGGAGTCTCCTTCTCTGGAGGTCTCCAAACCCACCTGGATGCCGCCCTGTGCCCCGTGCTCTGGGTGTCCCTGCTGGAGCAGGGGGTTGGACTGGATGATCTCTAGAGTCCCTTCCAACCTCAGCCATTCTGTGGTTCCATGAATCCCTCCTTAGGTGTGGGAATAGGTCGGGCTCTTCCCGGCAGCACTTTGCCACACGGGAGCACTGGGTTGCCCGGCAGCGCAGCGGGAATCGTGCCTTAGTTGCTGGATAAAAACACTCGGAATTAAAATGCACCCGGCAGCATGTGGGACGCTGCTTCCAAGGGAAAGAACGCGCTGGAGCGGCCACGAGTTATCTCCCCAATTGGTAACCTCACAAATTTTCTCTCCTTTTTTTCATTTCCTCGTTAGTTTCAGCCAGGTCTGTTTTCTATTTATATGGGAAGTGTCAACATACTAATAATTTTCTCTGTTGTATCCCTCACTACCAAATTCTTTTTCGTGACGGAATAGCAAAAGTAATTATATTTCTAAATGGAATGCCTGTTTTGCCTAAGCACCTCATATAGTTCCCTTTTGTGAGCAGGATTTTTCTAATTCCTCCAAAAATGTCTTGGCAAGGAGCAACCTGCCAGTTGGTAATGTGGATCCCGCCTTTCGGGACAGAACCTGGGATGCCAATTCCGTGTCCAGGAGGCCCCTTGGGAAGAAATGCTCCAGTGTGTAGGAGACAATGGTGCTGACGGGAAATATGGACAGTTAAGGAGCACCCCCGAATGCAAATCCATGGCAAGGCAGCTGCCACCTGCGGGTTGTGCTATTCAGGGCAAGGTTTTGGCAACTGGAGTGTTCTTCATTGTGGATGGCTGTGGGAAGATACTAATCCTGCTCTTCCAATAAGTTCTACCTGGTGATCCGATAGACCTGCTCCAATTCCACTGCATCCTGCTGCGAGGGGAAATGAAGCCCCATGTGGGCGGATGGGCGTCCATTTATGTCCATCACCCCCTTTGTACCTTCTTTGGCTTCTCCACAGAGGAGAGCTCAGTGTTTTGGATGTGGTTTGTCCAAGGACAGTGGAAGGCCTTGTGTTGGTGGATGAAGTAGCCCTGGGCAGTCCACAGGTCCCTCCTGGAGCTGCTCGGGCTCCAGGCAGAGGAAAACATGCTGTTCTGGTTGGCTTCTCCACACCTCACCCATGTGAGGTGCTGTCTGTATGTGCACGTAGGGTCCTTTGTTCCTACCTTAATATTTGCTTTGCTTCGGGGTCATTTCAGGACCTCTGCAAAGCGGTGAGACATCCTGTTCCTACACAGGCGGCAGTCTTGAAAGCAAGGTGCTGTCGGAGCATTCCCAACGTGTGTCCCGATACACAGGTCACCAGAGACGCCTGCACCAGGCTGCCGGAGCTGGCCCGGAGCTGCGGCCGTGGGCAAGAAACGTGTCCCCTGGGAGCGGGGGCTCCCCGGCGCCCTGGGCACGGCTGCCGTCCTGCCTGTCTGTGTGTCCGTCCTCGCTGCTGGGCAGCTCCGGGCTGCGCCACAGGGAGCCCCTGTGCCCCTCGACTGCACCTTTAGTCAGAGGCCTCCCCATGTTTCACGCTGCAGATTTCCTTCTTGCTGCGTCCTCTTGCTAAGGGTTGGTCTTTATTCAAGATTTACCTTTCCTTCTAGGATTTATCATTTCCTTTCTGTCAGGTGAGATGCCCAGCACAGGCTGGGGCTGTAGCCTCGGCATTCGGCCTTCAGCTCCTTGGGCTGATGCAACGTTACTGCTCCAGCAGCATCATTCAGCTCCTCTGAAGAGAAGGAAGATGGATGGCGGCTGCAGGAAAATTCTGAGATGCTAATGGGGTTTTCAGACATTTTTGGAATGTTATTTATTAAAAGAAGAACAGCAACATGGGCAGGGCTCTGCCTTGAGATTTTGAGGGATGCCGACACGATGTCAGCGTTGCCAGGTCTTTGCGCCGGGTCCCTGTGGTTGCCCGATCTCGTTGTCTGTGGTGAGGTTTCCAGTGCAGGGCAGTGACCTCGGGCTCCCCAGGAGAGCAGCCACGAGGCCGGTGCGTTTCCCTCCGCGGCCTCCCCGGCTGCCGAGAGGGCATCTACCAAAGGCACCCGGACACCAGGGCCCCGCGTGGGGACAGCAGCGACAGCCCCGCTCCTGCCGCCAAGCGCCAAAGGAAAATCAGTACCGGAATGAGTTTTGAAAAATATTCTACCTTGCTTTAAAAAAATCAAAATTTATCTAAATCCAGCCTGCAAACGCTGGAGTTCTCTGGAGAAGAGAAGGCTGAGAGGGGATATGATTAACATGTATAAGTACATGAAGGGAGAACGTAGGGAAGAAGGGGTCAAATTCTTCTCACTGGTGGCCAGTGACAGGACAAGGGGCAGTGGGTATAAGTTGCAACGCAGGCAGTTCCATCTCCATGTGAGGAAGAACTTCATTGTGAGGGTGACATTGTGAGGGTCTCCTTCTCTGGAGGTCTCCAAACCCACCTGGATGCCGCCCTGTGCCCCGTGCTCTGGGTGTCCCTGCTGGAGCAGGGGGTTGGACTAGATCTCTAGAGGTCCCTTCCAACCTCAACTATTCTGGGATTCTGTGAGTTCTGTCATGCCTGCAAGTCACACGCCGAGCACACAGTTACTTGAATCCCTCATTTCAGTAGTGCCAGGTTTTGCATAAACACCTAGCCTGAATTTCCTGGCTTGGTAATGCTTGCGTGGAGGGGGAATCATTCAAATGCTCTCCTATATTTTTTTGCATAACTCTGGCTTACCGTCATTCCTGCAGGGAAATGCAGATACCTGCTTAATGAGTTGAGTATATATGTGTATGCATATATATATATCATATTTTTTATATATATATGTCAACATTATGTCTTTAAGGAAAACTTGAGCTTGTTGTGCACCTCCGCTTTGTCACCGATATCACCTTGGCATTACTTAAGACTGACCTGAGTTCTTGATCTGACCCCTCTGCTGACCTGTCATCATAACGATCCTCTGATTACTTGGCTTGATCACAGCTGATTTATTGTAGTGAAAGGTTTGGCTCTGTGTTGGCTCTGAGGTTTCCCCGTGATTCTTTAAGTTTTGAGCTGTGGAAGATGCGGCAACTGAGGCTCCCCAAGCACCCGCTTCAGACGGAGGGATGAGCTCGGCGGGTGGCTTCCCAGCACCACATTCCTCCCTGGGACACCAAACATCCCATCTGTGAGAGGACATCACACAGAGCGGGGCCGGGGTCCTCCCCAGGACCTGCTCAACCCGCCCTTCTGTGGCGGCTCTTCGTGGTGGCACCGGCTGTATCTGCTCCTGCCTCCTCAGGGAGCCCCGGGCAGCAAGGGGCACTTCAGGGGTGACACAGGAGGGACCTTCCGCTGCCAGGCGTGTCATGCACGAAGCAATAGCTGTGAGCGTCTGATGGAAGATAAGAGCAGCCAGCCTATAAAAACCAGTAAGATAAAAACTCAACTCCCTTGCCCTGAGTTTCCCCTGCTCCTATCCCACCTCCTACTCTAAATTGATGTTGTCAGCGCTCATGATTTTATCGCAAGCCTTGTGATGTTTGATGTTTCACTTACACTCCAACTCCCAGAGTTGTGTAACGAGGTTAGAAACTCAGCTTCCCTATTCCTTTTTTTCCCCTTCCTTTAAAGCAGTACGTTTCTAGACCTGGTGGGTAGAGAATAAAGATTGCAAATGTGACCCAGGTGCACCTCAACCGCTCAGACTCCAGAAAGTAAAGCAGAACAGCTCTACATTTATTATTTTACAGGCAGGCTTATGATTTGGCGGCCACACTATAGGATTTGAACATTTGGAGCTGTCAACAGTGCTTGAAAAAAAAGAAAAAAAAAAAAGAAAAACCCTCCTGAACAAAGCACAATATGTTGCTTTTTCCAAGGAGCCTGGGTAGTCATTAGAGCAACAGGGAAAATTCTCTCTTCCGACACAGCAGGTGTTTCCCTGCTCACTACCTTCCATGGCATCTCCAGATTCAGCCTCAGCTTGCCTGGCCGGGCAGTGGTAGCATCACCACACAACCCGATAATGTCACAACCTACACAAACCTATAGGTACACAAACCTATAATGTCCAAGGCAAACCCACTGAGCTGCCAGTGCTGGAAAACCAGGCTCCAGCTGAGCCTTGAGAGGGGCAGCGGGACTGAGCGGAGCTCCGGAGCACGGCGCATGGAGCAGCGCCTCTCCAGAAACGTGAGTTACACCTAGATGAAGAGGAGCCTCTTTTCAGTGGTGACCAGTGATAGGACTAGAGGAAACGGCCACAAACTGAAGCACCAAAAGTTCCACAGGAAATTACGGAAAAATTTCTTTCCTGCGAGGGTGACAGAGCCCTGGAACAGGCTGCCCAGGGAGGCTGTGGAGTCTCCTTCTCTGGAGGTCTTCCAAACCCACCTGGATGCCGCCCTGTGCCCCGTGCTCTGGGTGTCCCTGCTGGAGCAGGGGGTTGGACTAGATGATCCCTGGAGGTCCCTTCCAACCTTGAACATTCTAGGAGCCCCAAGCCATGCGAGCAGGTCATGTTACGTGCACGTTGGTCAAGAGCTCCGGGCAGTCCACAGGCCAATGGTCCTCAACGTCACTTATGGGTTGGCCTAAATGTGTAATCCATTCTGGAGGTGAAAAAAACACACGTAATGGTGGCGAAGCTCAAAGGCAAAGAAAAGGTGAAAGTCTCTGAGACATGACTGCTACCTGGAGAAAGAGAAGGCGTAAAGATGTTAATGTTCCACAAATGCAAACATTTATAACAAACTGAGGTATAATAATTCTCTTAAGTTGTATTTACTGTGGAAATAAAGGAAATTGAGGGATGCTGTGCTGACCAAGTCATTAATTTTGGCTTTTAAATGAGCCATCTCTTCCATGCCTTAATTTCTAAGCCACAGTGCTTCTGAGCTGCTTGTCCTGCAGAGAACCAAGGAATTCTTTATCGAACAGCACTCACTTTGCCAGGAGTTTCAGAAGGGAAATGTTTTTCTCCTTGCATCTTGACCCACTTTGTTTAAGGCCAGAGAGTGATATTTTGTATATCTATATTAAAGAGCTGTACAAAATCTGTAAAAATTCTGAAAATCTGTAGAAAATCTCTCCTCTCCTCTCCTCTCCTCTCCTCTCCTCTCCTCTCCTCTCCTCTCCTCTCC